TCATAGACATTGTACTTTCTTTGGCTACAGCGGCAATACAGATAGAAATAAGAGAAGTGACTTGCAGGATGATCTCAAGAGCATTTAGACCTTTATATGCTGCCTTGCAACTACTACAATTTACAACGTGAGACCAGTACCTGGCGGCAATACAGATAGAAATAAGAGAAGTGACTTGCAGGATGATCTCAAGAGCATTTAGACCTTTATATGCTGCCTTGCAACTACTACAATTTACAACGTGAGACCAGTACCTGGAAATTTATAATTACCGAAATGACAATGAAATGAGTTCTTGAAACTAAATATTGAATTCTCTAGGCCTAATGCATATATTTGATTTTGTACATTCAATTATTATTCTTGAATTTTGCAGGAAACTCATTATATGACTCTTTACATTCACATTTCAATAATAACAATGCTAATTTATTGTCATGATTGAACCCCAGTAAAAACATTTCATTTTTGATAAGAGGTATAGTTATTACTGAAACGTGAAAGTATATAGTCATGATTAGACCTTTGCAAAATTGAAAGTTCCAAGGATAATTAGGAAAATTCAGAGTCAATTTATGCATTAGGCCAAGTCTCAAATGTAGTTTTGCAATTATCACCTGTCCATGAGTTGTTCCCTTGGAGGAGTTGGAGGAAGAGCTCCACTATACTTCCCTCTCCAGTCGACTTGACCACCAGCATACTTGTTCAACCATCTTCTGAAACTAACAGCAAGTGCGTCTGATTTGGTAGGCACGAAACAAGCCTTTTGCCAATTGGTAACACCAATGTCCCTGATCTTGCGCTATGTCCCTGATCTTGCGCTTCTACAAATAGATTTCAAGAGTCACCTAATTTGTTTCAGAGAGCAGAAAATGGTATGCTAAGGCTATAAGTTCTTGATTTATTTAGAAGAAGAGTTAATAACATAATTGAGTGCTTAAATGTTAACAATAGGAAAATGTTTTCTTTTTCCTGTTATATATCCTCCTAGTAAAATTTTTAATAGAAGCAAACAATTCATTATATGCAAAACAAAATTATATTTTTAGTCTCTCATCTAATCGTTAAATGAGGTGTGAGAATACCCTTCGTATTAGAATAAAGATCTGATTTACCTCATAATGAATAAGATATAAATCTAAATCGAAAAGGAGATTCTGTGCCATATGAGTTATCCATCGCGGAATTATTTTATCAATCCAAACTGCAGATGAAGAGTTTCTTGGAAAGGCTGATATAGATCTGCTTTTGCCAGGACTAACTGGAATGCAAATGAAAATTAATACTTCTTTCGGTTGCTGCATCAAAAAATTTTATATCCACAATTAGAAATATTAAAATAAAAGATAAGAAAAGTCTAGTCATGCCATAAAATTCTTAATCTAGAATATTCAAACTCGGTACTTTTCACTCATAAAATTTTATAGAAAGTGACAAAACCAACCAGACTAAATCTGATTAGCTTCTGTTATATGTAGAAAGCAAGGGAGAGAATTGATTTCAATGATTTCACTTTTTTATTATTAAATCAAACCAAATCACCCTATATATTCAGTGCAATTTTAAGCAGGGAGAATTCACGACCTCAAGTATATAGAGAATTCACGACGCTCAAAGTCTAATATATATATTATATATATATATATATATATAAAAGCAAGTTTTTTTTTTCCCCAGAAGTTGATCATCCTGTCTTTCTTTAAAATGAAGTGTTTTCCCTTACTCTTGCCACAATAAGGATTTTTGGTGATGACACCATAGGATATATATGTCACATAGAACACTCTTAAATTTTGATACGTGGCAAATAGAATTTAATATTAATTATAGTATTATATAATATTATATTAAATTATCATTCATTATTATAATTAATACATTATAGTAAATAAATTATAAATTAATTATACATATTAATAACCTATCTTCTCAATTAAAAATACATAGTATTGTCTTAATTGTCATTGTTATCATATTAATATGTATAAATAATTAAAAATTAAATTATAATATTATAACCTCTTTTTTATAACCTATTTTTTAATTAAAAATTATCATATTTTTTATGTTGATTACCATATTAATATGTATTATAACTAATCTTTTAAATTAATATTATTATAATATTGATATTGAATATCATTATAATCAATCATAATTATCATTTATTATTATGATAATATAAATAGAATATAAATAGAGAGAGCCCTTTGAGGTTTGGTAATATCAAATTTTTTTTTGTAATTTCAATGATTCTTATACAATTTCTTTTGACATTGATATATTTTTCTCTTCTAATTCTTATTACTCTATCAAATTAGGAAAAATTTGATAAATCATAAAAGAAAACAGTTTATATAAAATTATCATAAAAATGATATATATACGTATATAGTTGAATTTCTATTGTCCATTTTATTTTATTTATTTTATTATTTTTAATATCATCTAAGAAGATTTATTAATTCAAAAATAAATTTAAATTAATGATTTTTAGTATATATTTTATTTTCTTTCAATTTTGTTTTACACATTAAGTTTTATATAATTAGTATAACAAACTAAATTGAAATTCTTTCATGGACTACGTTTATCCCCTTTACATAGAAATGTGCTCATATTTATATATGTGAACACGAATATGATTATTTTTCTTGGAAAATTTTCATAATATAAATTTATACTGTTATACTGTATTTTTAGAAATTGCCTTTAAGTTGACAATGTACCTTACTAATATGGGTGCAAATTTTGTCTTAGAGCACAAACTCAGTGCCCTTCTCTCTGGACTTAGCATATGAAGAAGATGAGCTCATAATATATAGCTTCAACAAAAAATAAGGAATTTTATCTAAGTTCTAGATTACTAAACAAAAAGCTGCCTACCATAGACTGCCTTTAATTTTTAAGTCTTTATTGGGCAATAGCTTTTGAGCTAATTTTGATGGTCAAAACTTTAATTTTATTAATTGTATTGTTTGGTAATATAATATTTACAATATTTTTTCCGTTCTCTTATTTTAGAGAAAATTTCTATTTAGAGTTTTCGTTTTATATAAAGAATTTTGCTCTAAATAGAAATTTCGAAAAAGATGTCAAAAGAGAAAGTCTAAAATGCCCTCAAATAAACTCTACTGTTGTCTTTATTTCGGCTCAATTAATGAGCATAGTGGCAGACAAAAGGTGGGTTGGGTAACTAATGATCTTATGTTTCCAAAGCATGAGGAATTGCTATGTTCATGAGCGGTTTAATAGAAATGTACTTGACTTTATAGATCTGAGCAAAAATAAGAGTACGTATACTAGCCAGGTACCCAAATATGTCTATATATTTTATTTGTTGCGCCTACTTATAAGTATTTATATTGATATTACACCTCATTAATCTGCACACAAATTTAAAATTTATCGTACAAACTGAATTGAAATTCTTTCATAAACTACGTTTATAAGCTTTACATAGAAATGTGCTCAACTTTACATATGTGAACACGAATATGATTATTTTTGTTGGAAAGTTTACATAATATGGTCACAAATTTATATTGTTATACCGTATTCATTTTTTAGATGTTCTAAAATGTTTATAAGGTTTTTAAATTTTTATACATATACAATTATGTTTCGCATGATAACTTTTATAATCATTCATTAAATGAGGAACTTTTATTAACATCTTAACGATTTAAGGGCAAAATAACTTTTGTTCACTAAATTCTTAATATGCGTGTTTTTTTTAAATCATGCAAATAAAATGGGACGAATGGAGTATTTAGAATTGACAGATTACATAAATTTACTCTGAACTTTGTTATTTTAACTTTGTGGCGCCCCTTACTTTTACTTTGACCCATTAAACACTTTAATTTATTAAATTAAACATATTAAACACTTCAATTTTCAATTTCATTTTATTGAATACTTGAATTTGCAAAATTAAATCAATTAAACACTTATTAAAAAGTTGAAAATTATGAAAATTATTGTTTGAAAAGTCATGCTAACTACACAGATATCAATAAATATCAGTTCAGTCTCTATAGTGATAAAAATTGCGTATAAATTACAGTTTAGTTCTTAGTAAATATTTATATTCTATAAGTGTATCCTAGCTGTTTCTAATTAAAATTTTATTCCCTAATATGCAAATATGTAGAATAGTCAAATAATAAAGATTCAAAATATATTACTTCTATACAAATATGTAGAATAGTCAAATAATAAAGATTCAAAATATATTACTTCTATATAGTTTTTACTATTGAAAATGTACAATATTTTCAGGTTTATTAAATTGTGTATTTTACAATATAAACAAGATTGCTTTGGACTTCTGAGATAATAATCATGACTCACAAATTTGGCGTTGAACTTATTTTGTCCAAAGAATTAATGTTGGATTATTTTGATTCAAGTGTAGATTTCTACCTGACAGATGAATTGTCAACTGATGATTTTACAACACAAAAACACAAATCAAACCATTTGTTTTTTTGAGTTGTATTATCAAATCAAATCAAATCACCAAATCAAGTGATTAATTGTATTCACATGCTGATGCTGGCACAATTGATCGATTCAAACCTTGATTGGCTTTCACTTTCTGGATATGATCGATTCAAATCATGCATTTTCTTTTTCTTTAACCAGTTTGGATCGAGTTGTTTCAGTTTGCAGTCATATTGGTTATTGGGTCCACTGGCAAAATAATTTTAAATTAATTTATATATTTTAAATAGGGTCGATTTATGTCAAGTTGCCAATAATTTTTTCGCTAATTCCTTTTTTTTTGTCACTAATTTAATATTACCGATAAAATAGCGACAAAATTTTTATATTGGTAAAACCCTTATCGCTAAAAAAATAGCGATAAAAATTTCTTTTTGCAGAGGTTGGCATTTTACCTAATTTAAACCTGTGTAAATAAAATTATTATGTTATATTTGTTGAGCTGGAATGGAGAAATTAGCCAAATAAACAAATATTCTTCAGAATTAAAATAAATAAACAAAAAACACAGACCATAGATATATTATTTTGCACATAAGAATATCTGCTTATTAGCTTATACAATACTTTTTAATGCCAAATAATAAGTAAAATACATCAACGAAATGCGTGATTATAATCATGAAAGTGGAAGTTTTTGTAGATGAAATTAGCCAACCATCTTGCACTTGCGAAGCATACTACTGTAATAGCGACTAACGTAGTTCTAGCGGTCATAGACATTGTACTTTCTTTGGCTACAGCGGCAATACAGATAGAAATAAGAGAAGTGACTTGCAGGATGATCTCAAGAGCATTTAGACCTTTATATGCTGCCTTGCAACTACTACAATTTACAACGTGAGACCAGTACCTGGCATTTAGACCTTTATATGCTGCCTTGCAACTACTACAATTTACAACGTGAGACCAGTACCTGAAATTTATAATTACCGAAATGACAATGAAATGAGTTCATGAAACTAAATATTGAATTCTCTAGGCCTAATGCATAAATTTGATTTTGTACATTCAATTATTATCCTTGAATTTTGCAGGAAACCGATTATATGGCTCTTTACTTTCACATTTCAATAATAACTATGCTAGTGTATTGTCATGATTGAACCCCAGTAAAAACATTTCATTTTTTATAAGAGGCATAGTTATTACTGAAATGTGAAAGTGAATAATCATGATTGGACCTTTGCAAAGTTCACAGTTCACAAGGATAATCAGGAAAATTTAGAGTGAATTTTTGCATTAGGCCAAGTCTCAAATGTAGTTTTGCAATTATCACCTGTCCATGAGTTGTTCCCTTGGAGGAGTTGGAGGAAGAGCTCCACTATACTTGCCTCTCCAGTCGACTTGACCACCAGCATACTTGTTCAACCATCTTCTGAAACTAACAGCAAGTGCGTCTGATTTGGTAGGCACGAAACAAGCCTTTTGCCAATTGGTAACACCAATGTCCCTGATCTTGCGCTCCTACAAATAGATTTCAAGAGTCACCTAATTTGTTTCAGAGAGCAGAAAATGGTATGCATAGGCTATAAGTTCTTGATTTATTTAGAAGAAGAGTTAATAACATAATTGAGTGCTTAAATGTTAACAATAGGAATATGTTTTCTTTTTCCTGTTATATATCTTCCTAGTAAAATTTTTAATAGAAGCAAACAATTCTTTATATGCAAAACAAAATTATATTTTTAGTCTCTCATCTAATCGTTAAATGAGGTGTGAGAATACCCTTCGTAATAGAATAAAGATCTGATTTACCTCATAATGAAGAAGATATAAATCTGAATCGAAAAGGAGGTTCTGTGCCATATGATTTATCCATCGCGGAATTATTTTATCAATCCAAACTGCAGATGAAGAGTTTCTTGGAAAGGCTGATATAGATCTGCTTTTGCCAGGACTAACTGGAACGCAAATGAAAATTAATACTTCTTTCGGTTGCTGCATCAAGAAATTTTATATCCACAATTAGAAATATTAAAATGAAAGATAAGAAAAGTCTAGTCATGCCTTAAAATTCTTGGTCTAGAAGATTCAAACTCAGTACTTCTCTCTCATAAAATTTTACAGAAAGTGAGAAAATCGACCAGACTAAATCTGATTAGCTGCATGATCTATAATTTTTTCTTTTTTTGAGTATTGGATGATCTATCATTTAAAACATACAAATTACCCATATATTTACATCATGTCCCAATGAAATGAAAAATACTTACCTCCATAGGATCAGTATAAAAATAAAATATATATGGTGCTATAAATTTACAATTGGCCCAATCATTCTGTCCAGGGAAACCATTTGTCTTTCCAATGAAACCATTTATGTCTACTTTCTGGACTCCCATATCCAATGGTCTGCCTCCTTCTCTATCAGCCTTCTCTGTAATGGAAATCTTACATTAGTTAATTATAATTTGAGTTATAGTATATATGAGGGCTGTTCATAAGTCTTTCTGCACCTTCGTTCTCTCTTACTGGTATTATTCCATAATGTGCGTAGTTAAGATGAGCAGGATCCATCAGATTTTCGATCAAGACATCATACCTGAAAATGCAAATATCAGTTCAATTGAATTTAATGTAGTGTTCTAAATTTTTAATTTCAGAATTTTGGAATTTAAAATGTATCCTATATTTTGGAATTAAATTATAATTTTGTTTATTATATATTAAATACATCTTTAAATTATCTTTTCTATTCATTTGAAGGTCCAATTAGTCGGATATCACGATGGGTTACACAATAAAAATAATTTTCTTCTTGACTCACCAAATTGATAAAAATGATTGTAATTGAGAAAACTCAAGCTCCAAACCTCACACTCTTCGGGCTAATGAGAAGACAAACAAAACTATAATTGGTTGGCTTAAATTATTAATATATTACTAGTCCTTCAAAAAGTATAAATTGTAAATTTTAGTATTTTCTATTTGCATAGTTGATTTATTATAAGGAAAAATGACACCCAAGATGATTGAAACCCATAGATAAATTTTAGTACTTTATTTTATTTTAATTTTTTAGGGAATTTAAAATCTTTTATTTTCTAAAACTTATCTTGTATCCAATCACAAGAAGACAAAATAAAAAATTTATTTAAATTGATTTTTTTTTTCTTTTCTGCTTTTCTACACAAAGTAAATCTGAGAGCCAACTAAGTATAATCTTGTTCCAACACCAAAACATAGTTTAGTAGTAAGTTTATATATGATTTGAAAATTGATTCAAGTTCCAATCTCTTCTCTCTCAATGCTCAAATAAAAAAAAAATTATGATTTTGTTCGTTTTCTTACCAATGTGAGGAATAAGATGTCTCTAGCTTGAGTTCTCTCGACCAAGAGACTTTTACCAATTTTCAAATGTATATAAAATGATAAATAGAATTTAAATTCGACATAAAAATGAGATAATTTTCACCAACCCATATGGCAAATCTCTAACAGCTCCGATGGTTTTAGAAAATGAAGGATCATCCAATTCTGGAATGAAGGGAGGCTTTTGCTTGGTGATAATATCTTTTAACTGAGGATCAGCGTTGGGCCAAAACCACACAATATCATTTTGCACTGTACTAGGATAAACTCCTGCACATGCTTTTTTGAATGTGTGTACCTGCATATATTATTTGACACAGACAACAACTAATATCTCATTAATTTTGGAAAAATATATGATTAAACCACCGCTGCAAGAAAAATAATATGAAAAGAATTTGACCATAAACAAATTCCTAATTAGAATAGGATTAAATTTATAATATTAATATAATAAAAATAACAAATTGAATATCATTTAGAATAGGATTAAATTTATAATATTAATATAATAAAAATAACAAATTGAATATCATATTATAAAATTATGATATAACACGTTATATTAGCAAAATCATTTAATACATTGAAAAAATTAATTATATGCTAATTGGCTTTAGCAAAAAGAAAAAGAAAAAATACCAAGATCATAAATGATACTCTAAAACATGATTATTATACTAATTATTATAATAGCTAATATTGATTTTTTATATTTTAGTAATATAGACAATTTTATTTAATTAATATTATATACGAAAAGGTTAAGTTAATTAAATTTAAATTGTTATAAGAAAATTTAAATTGATTGATAAGTAATTTTATTTTCATTAAAATTTGGATGTCAAATTATAATAAGATGTTATTATTATAAAAATGTTATTTCCTTAATAAGTTATTTAATTATGAAATTTTTTCATTTTATTATTTCATAAATTCTTTTTCTTCTATTTTGTGAATGCTATTGGATTTTTAGCAATATAAGTTTGTTCATAATATTATAATTTATAAATAAAAAATTATTAAAAAATTATATTTATAAATTAAATTATATTTAATTACAACGTATAAAAATCAATGAGTAAAAACGTGCAATACACATTTGAGACAACTAATTAAGAATAAAATCATAGAGGAATATGTTTGACACAAGTTAGCTCCTTTAAAAACACTACCAATTAAGGAAAAGGTAGACTTCGGCTATTTTTGATTTCGGAAAATAATGTATATTTGAAAAATATTTTCAAAAGAAAAATTTCCTTGGGAAATATTTTCCAAACAATTTATTTTCTATTGTTTGAATACAATATTCAAAATTAAATAAAAAAAATATTAAAATATTTAATTTATCAAACTATAAAAATTTTTATAATTATAAAAATTTCATATTTTAAAATTTTATTATTAAATATAAGAAAGAATATATAAATTTCTAATTGTATAAATTTTAAGAATACATAAAAGTCTATTTCTATAAATTTTTGTAGCTGTTGGTAAAGTTTGATACTGGCTTTGTCGGTGATAACAATAACAGTGACTACTGGTGATCAATAATATTTTAAATTTATATTTATAATATTATGAATAAATTTGTTAATATTTTAAAATAATGTATTTCTTTTTGAAAAAATCAAAGTTATTTCTTTTAAAAATAATTTGATTTTCTCTTTTTTTTGAAAAATAATTTTTGTTGACTTTTTTGTGCACATAAAAAATATCAGGAAATTTGGAAAGTATTTTATAAATAAGTAATTTAATTATTTTTCAAAGACAAATAGGACTGTGATTGAGTAGCTTTTGGCATATCGCATATGCATTATTTAATGATTAAATAGATACCTTTAGCTTTCCAGACAACGACTTTTTTTTTTTTTTTAAGTAGTTTATGAAACTAAAAATATAATAAGAAAAAGAAAAAGAAAAATCTAGTTTTTTATAATATTCAATTAATTAGGTTTGTGTATTGCACTAAAATATCTAAGATAGTGTTCGGCAATAATTTTTTAAATAGATTTTATCAAAAAGTTAAATTTTATTTTTTATAGTATTCGATAAAAGGTTTGAACTAATTTATAGGATTTGTTCGACAAAATTAATTGTTTTGATAGCTATTAGCTGTTTTAATAGTATTTAGTTGTTAGTTGTTTGAGTAGCTTTTTATTAAATACTAAAATTTAAATATTATATAGGTTAATTCTTCATATAGTCTGTTGGGCAGCAGCATTTCAGGGAGCTTTTAATATTTTAACAAGAGTCAAAACACTGTATTTATCAATTAGATTGCGGTAACTTAATACTTTGTAACAGCTGTTAAAAGTTAGGTAGCATTTAATCAAACGTTAAATCCTTTAATGTTTAGAGTTTTAAATTTTATTTTTTTGACACTCTTATCCATTTATTTTCTTTCCCCTATTCTTAAGGCTTACAATAAATATTCCTTTGAACTTGATACTCTTGTTTTTTTTTTTTTTCCTCAAATCTCGAAAGAATGTATGTCATTTTAATTATTTAATTATTTTATTTCTATTGTCTTAACACAAGGATAAGAGCATATTATCAAAATTAAATAAAAAGTAAAAAATAAAAAAATATGATAATAATTTAAAATATATATATATATCATCTTGTTTTCTAAATTTAAAATTTGAAGTCAACATTTTAATGTCCTTTTTTGTAATTTTAATTTTAACAGCTAATCAAACATCTATTTTTTACTAAACACTTTTTGCTTTAGACCACTACATAAATTGCTAACAACTAACATCTATCAGTTAAGAACTACTGAAATAATTAAAAGCTACTACAACAGCTAATGTTGCCGAATAGACAAACTCATAAAATGTTATCTTAACGTTTAAAAGTCAATCCAAATGCTATGTTACCGAACACTATAAAAAATAGCGTTTAGTATTTTGACCAGTCAAAATGCTAAAAGCTGCTTAAAAAATTATTGCTGAACACGGCCTTGGAGATTAACGACGTTTAGCTTTAGCATTTTATGAAAAAAACTATTTAAATAATTACTAACTACTCAAACAGCTAATAACAAGACACTATTAAAATATCTAATAGCTACCAAAACAACTAATATTGTCAACTCTAAAACAAACCTAACCTTCTCCCAAAAAAAAAAAAATAATAAATAATTAATTAATTGAATTTTCGCAAAATGCTAATCCAAACGTCATTGCTTAAACAGATAAAAACCGAATCTTTAATTTTATATTCATGGCTGTTCAAATTTCTTAGACTTTCAAATCTAATAATTGAAACTTTTATAAACTAATGTTAAGTTTTGGTAATTTTTTAATAATTTTTTTTATCTCTCAAAAAAATATTTTCTTTTTGAAACCAACGGTTAACAATTTTTTATAATTAAGAAGTCAAACGATTGAATTTTTAAAATCTTAAGCCTAATAATAAACTAATCAACCCAATAATTTGCTCCTAACAGCCCAAACGGCGTATGTACTGTTCGCGATTCAGTTGGGCTTTAATTTTTTCCAAACCAAGACAATTTGTTCTATTCGAATATATCTAAATTTAAATATGTAATTCCATTATAATCTTTATGACATTTATAATTATTCATTAAATAAAAAATTTTTATTAATATCTTAGTAAGTTAAGGGTAAAAAATGGTAAAATAATTTTTAATGACTAAATTCTTAATATACGTGTTTTGTCAAATTAACAAAATGGGATGGAGTGAATAATAAAAAAGTGAAATCATTGAAATGAATATATATATATATAAAAGCAAAAATATTCCAGCCTTGCCGGGAAGTACCATTCTATTAATTTTGTTAAACTTCATTTTACAATCACTTAATATTAATATGTATTTAAATAAAAAATTATAATTTTATGGGTCACTTTAAGTTAAAATTGATAATTCATCCGGATGCCTATTAAATAAATAGACAACTTATTAATTTAGCTTAGAACAAACAAACTTATTTCAATTTTGTTTGACAATTTAGTTGTCAGTATGATAACATATATACACACACACACACATTTTAAAGAGAAAATGTGTCTCTTACCTCTCTCTATTTATGACTTTTATGGATTTTACACGTGGTAGCTCTTTAACAATTATTCTCTTATTTATGACTTAAATGATTTTTAAACACAGTGATTCTTAATGTTCTCTTATGATTTAACTTTTTTGCCTTCTTATTTTCTTTCACATGTTATCTTAAGGGTGGTGTTTCGTTTTAGTTAAAATAAAAAGTTTTAATTCTACATGATACATTTAAATCATATTGTACATGCATTATATGCAACTCAATTTTTTAACAATTTACTTAATATATATGTTTTACATTTAATTAAAAAAAAATTATATAGTCGTGCGAAGCACAAGAGACCGACTAGCAAAATTATAAAGGAATAACTCTGACACAAGATAGGTCCTTTAAAAAAATTAGCAATTAAGAAAAAGGTCAACTATTATAACATTTGTGAATACTTTTCTTTTAATAAAAGAAATCCAGTAAGAAGATCTCTTTGCTTTTTTTTATTATTAACTATTATAACATTTGTGAATTTGTTGCTTTCTATTAATTATTACTATAATAATAATAAAATAAAATAAAAATCAAAGCCTGGTTTTTTTTTTATAGTATTCAATTGATTAGGTTTGTGTACTGCACCGAACGTGATTGCTTAAAAAGATAAAAACCGGATCTTTGATTTTACATTCATAGTTGTTCAAATTTATTAGACTTTCAAATCCAATAATTGAAACTTTATTCATACATATATGCATACAAAAATTTTATATAATATATATTACATATTAATAAATCAGCAAATTTTTTATTTTATACATAATATATTTATTACACATTAATTACACTTTCAGAAAATTCAAAGTATTATTTATTATTTTGTTTTAATTTAAATTTATCTAAATATCTCCACTAATTTTTTTTTCTCTCTTTTAATTACAAAATATTAAGTAAACGATAATTTAGTAATTTTTTTTTTCAGAATTGGGCTGATTCAAAAGTTAAAAAATGTCAAAATTAAGGGAAGGGTAGTAATATGAGGATATTTTTTTTATTATTTCTTTTTGTAACATTAGTAAAAATGAGTACTTCTCAAATCTTCCATCAAACTATATTCATAGGTTTGAGTGCTTTTAGTATCCACCATGGTTTGATTCGGTTTTATTATAAAGCATAATTATTAATTTGATAATATATAAATTCTTTGAATCAAATCAAACCAAACCATGAAAACCATCCTCAAAACAATCAAAATAATAATAATAATAATAAGGTTATTAGAAGTTCTTACAGGAGGACCATTTGGATCTGCTTGAGGAATGAATTTGCAATCACCAGAGCCATTAAAACACCAACCATGATAAACACACTGCAATCTTCCCCATTGATCAATTCTTCCTTCTGATAATGGAGCCAATCTATGAGGACAACTATCATCAAACACCTTCCATGCACTCTCATTTCTATCCCACCAAACCACCACATCAATACCCATCACCTTCTTTGCATGTGGAACTCTTTTGTCCAAATCACAAACTGGCATAATCGGACACCAGTGTGCATACCAATCAAACTTATCTCCTTGGCTGTCAGTTTCAAGCTCTGGTTTAGGTGGTTCGATGGACTGATCTGTTGAAACAGAAGATTGTGATGACACGGTTGTGAAAAGCTTGGATTTTGATGGGGTATTATGAATTCTTGAAAAAGAGGAAGTCTTAAACTGAAAATTCAAGAACTTGGGTTTTGCAAAGTTGGCTTGTGTTAGTGTAGCTGACATGTGAAATGATGGAAAGGAGGACTTTATAATAGTTTCCATGGCTGCTTCTGTTATATGTAGAAAAGAAGGGAGAGAACAGTATAGACTTGAGTTCGTGAATTTTCCCTGCTTAAAATTGTACTGACTATATAGGGTCAGCATTCGGTTCAGTTATTCGATTATTTTGATTTGGTTTTATTTAATAATAAAAAAGTGATAGTTGGAATATATAGCCGGTTCAAGTTATTCGTTATTTTTGATTTGGTTTATTAATAATAAAACAAGTGATTAGTGGATATAATATATTATAATAATATATAAAATATAAAGCTTGAACAAAAATAAGGAATCTTATCAGAGTTCTAAAAAAAAAATATTATATATAATTATGAACAATAAATAAGGAATCTTGTCCAATGTCTACTTTACCAATAAAAACAAATCTGCCTAACCTGACTCTAATTTCTAAAGCACCGGCGGGCAACAGTTTTTAGCTACCTTCTAGCGTTTAAGTCAATTATATCTCTATTACTTGTATAGTTGGATATCATAATATTTATAATTATTAATTTTTTTTTTAGTTTTAATGAGTTTTTTTTTTTTTTATAAATGTTAAGAACTCTGATGTTCGGCTTTTTCATAAATTAATTAAATTTTTTTAATAATCATATCCATTTGTCTTTTTCACAAATTGAGCTAAGCTAATAAAGCAGGTAATGTCGTCTCTTTTTTTTATTTCATTTTAAGTTAATTAATTGATTAAACTGTAATTTTTACTAAACACTTGTAATTTAGTCTGTTTAACTAGCTGACAGCTAATAAAACAACTAAGAGTTACTATACAATTAATAATTACTAAAATAATTAGTATTACTGAACAACAAAACATGCTCTAACTTCTAAGTGGTACAGCCAACCATAGACTCATATACTACGATCTCTAAAAGACTAAATCATTAAAATTACCCCCAACTCTGCTCTTTGTAATAATTTATTTTTTTTATTATGTCTTCATTGTTATTATTCGTTATTTATGCTCATTATTTTATTTTTATATAATATTAAGTAAGATTATAATTTTCCACTTATATTCTCTAGATTTTTATAATATTAAAAGCATGATTTCATGTGTAACAATTTTAATGTGACACCCTAGGCGAATTTCACATCGGCTAAATACAAAGGGTAAGTGAAGTACATAAGAATGGGCAAGTTTTAAATTATCAAAATGCCTTTTAACCTATGAGTTGGTTCTAGCGCAGGAACAAAACCGTGAAAGAATGAGTTAGTTCGGCCCAAAGCGGACAATATCTTGTCAGGCCTGGGATGTCACAGACTTTGTATCAGAGCTAAGCCTTGTCCCTCTAGCTGATGGTGGGGCAAACCTCAACGAGGACCCTGAGTCCTTAAGGGGGCGGATGTAACACTCTAAGTGAATTTCACATCGACTAAGCATAAGGTGTAAGTGAAGTACATAAAAACGGGCAAACCTTAGACTAGCAATAGGCCTTGAGGGCTATGAGTTGGTTCTAGCCCATGAACAAAACCGTGCGGGTCTAAGTCAGTTCGGCTCAAAGCGAATGATATCTTGATAGTCCTGGGATGCCACATTTAAATTAAAATTTATCTCTATTTAAATATTATTCATAATATAAGTGAATAGTATCATTTTTAAATTAATTTTTATATGATAGGATGATATTAAAAGTCAAATATATTTAATAAAACAATTATAGACAATAAAACGAAAAAAAATATTATTAATTATAAGATCAGAATTCAATTAACATCTATGATTTTATTAAAAAAATATTTGATTAGAAACAAATAACTATTAATGAATTGAATTTTAGCATTTCATTATTTTTACGCAATCAAAATAGGAATAGCATATTCATTATTTTTACGCCAAATCAAAAATAGGGAATAGCCAATATATATATATAAATATTATATATATATATATATATAATATATATATATATATATATATATAATTAAAATAATTAAAAATTTTAAAGTTTTGAATAGTTCATAAATATATATCTGTGTTTTTTTTTATATATTTATTAGTTCATATAATTCTAATCTATTTAATTTATTTATTTTGAATCATCCAATATTTTGAATCATCCAAAAATATTTAATTTATAAATTTTAAAGTTGTAATATTTAATTGTAATATAAAAGTAAATAAATTAAATATATTAGAATTATATGAACTAAGAAATATTAAAAACAACACACACACACACATATGTGTTATTTATTATACTTTTAGTTTTTCTCTTTCGCTAACAAATACTAAGTGGTTGAGGTTCTCCACTTGCACTGCCACTTTTTGGAATGACAGTGATTTTGTGCAAGTACATGAAATCGCAAACAAATAATATAGAATGGATAGAGTATCGTTCCCATGAGGATTGTATACTAAGTATCAAAATTATGTTAACCTTCTATTATTTAAACGGCAATAAGGGAAATTATTTTAAGAAATTAGCTTCAACAAATAAAAGAGAATGAAAGGAAATCAAGCAAGGCAATTTTGATTAAAAGTGATTAAAAGAACATGATTTAAATCTATTATGGAATTTTGTCACTTAATTCTATTCCAGTTTATTCGTATTAGTTTTGATAATTCAATTTAATTATTCACTTAGGGAAATAACCCGAAAAATCACTACAAACTCTTCCCGATGTATTGTTAGCTATTTTAATCCGGTCTAATTACCGTATATAATCTTCCGAATAGCGCAATCAAACATGAATTTAATAATTAGTTTTAGGTTTGTTTGTGTGAATTTATATGACCTAAGGTCATTAACTTAGAAAATCCCGATGATCAAGCATATAGCTTCCACACCAAGTTATTTATTCTATGTAATATATTATCTTTCATATCAAAAACCCTCTCCCCGATAGTGATTAATGAAAATAAATCAATCCAAGGGAAAAACTCCTACCTGGAAGCATTAAGTTCCGATAATAAATTATACTTTGAACAATGAAAAGCAAAATCTTAATATTATAAGATTTGGCAATAATAAATTATACTTTGAACAATGAAAAGCAAATCTAATATTATAAATTGGCAAGGAAATTAAGCTACATCAAATCCCTAGTATGAGAATTTAGTTCGACATAATAATTAAATAAAACTCAATTAAACTCGAGAATAATTCCATAATCAATATGATTGATGAAAAGTAAAACAACATTAAGAGATTAGACATAAAAACTAGTCAACAAATAACGTGGATGGCTTACGGGAATCTTGACACAAATCTTGAGCACTTGAAGTCTAAGAGAGAGAGAAAAACAATAGAACAAAAAGATGGTATATACAATGAATGGCTCCTTGTCTATGGCTAGTCTCTCAATTTATATAGACTTTCTAGAATATCTTCGTGTTCGTTTAGAAAAGTGAATCTTTATTAAGTAAGAAATCTTTTGGAGATAGGAAATTGTTTAGGGTTTGTATTTCTTTCCAATTACGACTCTCTCAGCGTCTAGATAGGATTTAAACTTGGTTGGCACATCAGAAAAGCATCTCATGCAAGTCTATGTAAGCGTTATGAGTTGGAACTGACATTCTTGTCCCAAGGCAAAATCTGATCTTCAGCACGGGTGTGCTATATGGCATGGCTTGGGGACAGTCTTTTCTGCATTTTTGGATAGTTTTCTATAAAAATCCTATAAAATTCCTCAAGATCAAGTGAAATATGACTCAAGGAAGCTTTGAACAAAAACATAAATAAAATTAAATATAAACTAATTAAAGTAATTAAAAATACTAAAAATCCTAATAAAAATTATATTAAAAATATTATAAAAATAACACTTATCATGGAACATGTCATTGTGTAGCTTTAACAACTCGCCTTCATCCCTTTTAATTTCAGGAAGCCATAGGAGATTTTCTTTATTGGAACGCTAGTGGCAAACTTGAATTTAAAGAGGGAAGCCAATTGCAAAGACAAGTTGATTGATCTAGATTCTAACAACCAATACCATTCTTCCATGGAACTTTCTAAAGTCATAAGAAAAACTCGAGATTTAAGTTCATCTGAGTTTCTATGCATATCCATAATGGTTTAGAAGTTAGCCAAGTGACTTGTTAGATTAGTTGTCCTATCGTATTTACCATTAGCATCTTGAACTTTAAAGGGAAAGAGGGTCATAATAATGTAAGCACACATGGGTGAATCATCTCGGAGTCCATAATCGCTTGTATCACCTCTAAACTCTTTAAACTTTCTTAACATGTCGTTAACTTTTGTTTGTCAGCCTGCGTTGGCCATGATAGGTCGAGTGATGTTGCTCTAGTTAGAGTGTAAACCATATATGTCTCATCTTACCACAAAGCATCATCTCAATCTCCTTGTTCTCCATAATATGTTTTCACTTTTATATGCTTTGGCTAGTTTGTGGCGTTATGATTTCTTAAATTGTGAGGGTAAACTTGGACACTGTAGGTGATAGGTTTTGATTTTTCAAAGGCGTGCTGATTAGCAAGTGCTAACTTGTTATTACCTTAGTGAGTGTCTCCAAAACACTAGTGAAGTTATTCAATGCCATCGCCACTTGAGGTGTAACATCCTAAACCCGAAACGTCTCACCATTATCATAAATTTGTATGTATATAAATAACATATGTGATATAAATGTATACACACATGCATTTGCAATTAGTTTGTGATAAATATTAGACAAGGATATACCAAATCATGGCTATGCACATGAGACATCTGATAAGAATGTGAGTATGCAAATGCATAAATCTTATAAGTTCTAAACTTCAGAAGTTTTGGCACTCTGTCCTAGATATAGAGATTGCAATTGTACTCTTTATAGCTTTCTAGTATATCAATATAAGGTGTTCATGAGTGAGTTAACTCAAGTGAGTATATTCAAATTGTTAGGGAGAATCATGTCTGTTTTGGTGATTAGATTGATTAAGATTGATTTAATATGTCAATAAGAGATTGCTAATCACAAGATCTTAAGTTAAATAAAGTAAAAATTCATTACAGAGATTAAACTAGGAGAAGGTTAAATGTGCTTAAGTCATGCGAAGAGAAGCTAGTATGTGAAGCACCTTAATTAGCATCTTGATTAAATACTTAATGACTTGATGTTAACTCATCTAAGATGTTTAGTTAAAACCTAAATGAGATTAATTAAGTGTTAATAAATGATATGGAATTGATTAGAATAAAAGACAAGTTGTAAATAACAAGTGTGGGTTAAAGCATGAATAAGTGAGACTTTAAGGAGGTTAAGAGAGATTTGATAGTCATGTGACTTGCACATGTCTTTTTATTATTTATATAGCATATGGTAGTTTAAAAAAGAGAAGATAAAACACAAAAGAAAGAAGGAGAGAAGGGTCAAAACTTAAGGAGAGGAGAAGAAGAGAATGAAGAAAAGTTAATTTCTATTGGAATTAACACTTGAATCAAATGGTTTTTGCTAGAAATCATCAAAGGTGAGTTAGTTATCATTTATTCTTAAGTTATCTACTTAATTTAGAGAAGAAATGGTCAGGGTTTTAAAAAAGATTTTGAGCAAAATTGATCTTTGATGGAAACTAGATGAATAAACATGATTTAATATGTTAACTAGTTAGTTTTAATTATATAACTATGAATTGAGTTTTAATTTGATGAAATTAAAGAAAATCATATATAGGGTTCTTGAAGTAGGTTCGGCCAAATGAAGATTTCTATTGAGATGATGTTTTCAATTTGAATTGATGAGTTTAAATGGTTAATTAAACATCCTAATTAAGTTATTAAGTGTTGGATTGGAAAGAATTATTCTAAAATTGATATTACCAGTTTTATATGGTTATGGAAGTTTAAGGAGCTTAAGAAAATATTCATGAAACAATATTATGTTTGACGAATTTTAATGATGTTGATTGATGAATAGATAATTGAGTTGAGATATGTGATTGAGAAATGAATGTTGGAGAATACGATAGAATTTTCCAAAAGTCCATGATATAAAGAGAAATAAGAATGTTAAGTATTAAAGTATGCTTGATTAAATGCCTAAATGAATATTAATATGCTTCCTTATTCATATAGGTGAAAGGATCATAGAAGGCGTTGAAGAATGAGGTACTTCCAGGCCTTGAGACTGCATTTCTGTGTATTATGAGTAAAAACTAAATATGATTATTTATATATGATAAATGTTTGTTTAAAATATCTGCTATGGCCATATTTTGTATTTGATATTCTGGATTGAAAAGAATATGATGTGATTCTGAAAAGTGGCAAATCAAGCAAAAATTTATGTATTATTCTGAGGCAAGTGAGCATAATCTATGAATGCAATTCTATCAAATTCTACATCTGAGAGAAAAGAAAGTTATGATTGTCATTACCAACTTGTAATTTTGATCTATATCTGGAGCTGCATGCTCAAAATCTGTATCTGGAACTGCATTCTCAAAATATCTGATCTGAAAGCTGGCCAACTAAATTTGATATTTGAAATTTGTTATCTGATACTTCGGGGGCGAGCTTGGTTTAACAAGTCATAACATAAATAATCAGACAATCATCTGAATTTATATTTCTGAAATATGTCTCTTTAGCATCTATACATATGATGCTTGAATTATCTGTTATTTGCATTTCTATTAATGGAAATGATGTGATATCTATTCACTTATTATTGTGAATGATATGATGAATGGCTACTAATTGAGAATGGTTGATGTCGAGCAATGATGATCTGAAGAATTTGAGATGTTCTGAATTATAGGGAGTGTACTGTGTGTCATATTAAAGATGCTTAATATATGCAATATAATTCCAAATAATCATTATGATAGTTTTATCTCACTCAATAGCATCTCATATTAAATGCTAATGTTTTTCTAGATTTTAGTGTTGTGAGGCATTAACAATCAGATTTCCTTTTATTCAGACAGACATATATGGAACAAATGTCGAGTTCAGTTGTGATATTTGTTTACTCATTATTGTGAATGATATGATGAATGACTACTATTGTATGATAATAGTTTATATCGGGCAATGATGGCCTGAGGAGTTTGAAATGTTTTGAATTATAGAGAGTGTATTGTGTGCCTTGTTTGAGATGCTTGATATATCAATATAATTCCAAATAATCATTATGATGGCTGTATTTCACTTAATAACATCTCATATGAAACGCTAATGTTTTTTCAGATTTTGGTGTTGGGAGGCATTAACAATCAGATTTCCTTTTATTCGGACAGACAGATATGGAACAAAGGTCGAGATTAGTTGTATCTGCATATGTCACCTTCTTAATTTTGTATAAATGTTTTGTATGAGTTTATACTCCTTATAGTCAGGGGCGGAGCTAGGACAATTATTTTGAGGGAGTCAAATGAATTTTTTAAGACTTTTAAGGAGACCAAATATAACTTTTTTATATTTTGAAGGATTAAAATGTCATTTTTCATAAGAAAATTAAAAAAAAAAAAATTTGGGGAGGGCCACGGCCCCCTTAGGCCCCAAGGGAGCTCCTCCTCTACCTATGGTCCACAATGTAATAAAGATATACTCGGACTATATTTTGTCATGTATAAAATCATATATGACTGTATTTGAATAGAAAGAAATTTTTTGATGCTAATTTCTGCCGCTTAGCACACGGTGTGACTTAGGATATATGATGTTAGGGTGTTATATGAGGATCCATTTTTCCAGTAGGAATCAAATTGCCAGCATGATTCGCTATAAGGATGGCTCTAGTACTGTTGTTGAAGGTAGCACTATTACTGCCATCGACGCCATTACTACCACTATTATCAGTATAAACTTTACTAATAATTGAGATCAATGGCCATTATTATATGTAAGAAAGCATAAAAAACTAAAAGAAAATTTGGCCATGGAAGGATTGTTTCACACTCACTGCAACAATTGATAAATCTAAAAAAATCCTAAGAGGTTGATTGAAAGAATAATAGGGTTGTAATATCTAATAACGGTTTTTTTCTTTTTTGGTTACAAAAATTTAGGAGTAGGGCTAGGCTAGCCCATCTCCAAGGCAGGGAGCCAAGTCTGGTAAGGTTGCAGCGAAAAACTGTTTACCTTCCCAAGCGCCTCCATAGCACAGACTGAACCCTAGACCTCCGCGAGATCAAAATATTGCTACTATCACTGAACCTTAGGACGATGGGTTATTAGTGGTCTAGTTTTTAGAGATCAATCACTCGTTTGAGAATTAAGATCATATATAAAGAGTCATTCTTAGAAAAAAAAAAAAGAAAATTACTCTTAGACTCTAAGTCGACTTTTAAGTAGGAAAACACATTCATCTCTATTTAGAATTATATGCCAAATATCAGTTTAGTCTTTATAGTTATAGAAATTTTGTCTATAAATTACAGGTTGGTCCTTAGTAAATATTTATATCTAGTTGTTTCCAATTAAAAATTATCCTTGATATGCAAATACGCGGAACAGTCAAACAATAAAAATTCAATATATATTACTTCTACATATTTTTTATTATTTAAAAATTCAATATAATATATAAAAATTCAGGTTTCTTAAATTGTTTATTTCACACTATAAATCTTTTTTTTTTTTTTTTTTTTTCAAATACGCGGAACAGTCAAAACAATAAAAAATCAATATATATTACTCTCTACATATTTTTTATTATTTAAAAATTGCAATATAAGTATATAAAAATTCAGGTTTTCTTTAAATTGTTTATTTCACACTATAAATCTTTTTTTTTTTTTTTTTTTTGGGTGAAATATTTTTTTTTTTTTTTTTTTTGTGAAAAACACAATAGAAATCATTTTATTTTTATAGAAAAATATCAAAATTTGTCCCCTCCAAATTCCAGCTTCATCCCTGAGTAAAATTTGCCATGTTTCAGCAGATTTTGAATATGAATTCCAGCACATGGTTTGATTGCTTTGGACTTTCTGAGATCATAATCATCACTCACAAAGTTGGCATTTTACTTATTTTGTCCAAAGAATTAATGTTGAAATATTATTTTGATTCAAATGCAGATTTCTACCTGACAGATGATTTTACAGCACAAAAACACAAATAATAAAATCACTTGCCTCTTTGATTTGTATTATCAAAGCAAATCACCAAGTCAAGTGATCAATTGTACTATCGATCACATGCTGACGCTGGCATAATTGGACACACCGAGAAATCTACTGGTCAGCATTCGGGTACCAATTCAGCCAATTCTATTAATTGAGCAAATTTCTATTAATTGATTAGATAAATAATAAAATTAAAAATTAAAATTAATTCAAATTTTAATTTAATTAAATAGTGATTAATAATTTCGATAATTTCTATTTCGATTAAAGTCGATTAATTATAAATTTTGATTAAATTCGATAAGCGGTTAATAGTCAAATTAATTCCTGAATTACTATTTGTAAATAAGAAGATCCGTTAAGCTAAAATAAAATGAAATTTCAGCGATCGAAAAGACGCGGTAGATGATACGTGACCTTATTTATATTAAAAGTTTCTACACATCGAACGATCATTTGTCTCTTAGCACTAACGAAAGAACCACTGCCACCTCTCTTTATAAAATTTACAACCACTAAAAAAATAAAATTTTCAACAGGACTCCAAACCAATAAAGGAAAAGTAGAGACTATAATTTTTGAATGAAAAAATAAATTTGTGAAAGAGAATGACCAAAGATGAAAATTGCGTAAGAGAGAGAGGGTGAAATACAACCATCAATGCATGAATCACTATCGCATCACATTAAAGGTTTGTAAAGAGAGTTGCAGAGATCAAAAAATTAAAATGCTTCCATTGAAACAAACAGAGAAAATAGCAGAGGAACTTTCTGCACACAGCTGTAAACTTTTCCTATACATATTTAAATTACAAAATCTATTATCAGTATACAAAACAGAAATTATCTACAAGAATAGCCAAAATTTCTCTCTTTTTACACTTTTCCACTGCTCTCTCCCCTCTTCTCTGTGTTTATATTTAGGCCTCGTTTGGTTAGGAGTAAGTGAAGGGAGGAAGTTAAAGTTCTCATAAAATACAGATTTTGAGTATGTTTGGTTGGCACAAACCGTGCAATTTCCGAGAACTTAAAAATACAACTTCTCTAGCCGGGAAGTAAATCCCCTGCTCAGCCATGGGAAGTGGACTTCCTTAAGCTCAAAACTTCACATTCTCAATTTTACCCTTTTAGCTTCCACTGCACATGCGCTTATTTTTACTTTATCCATTGTACTTCTAATTGAACCATGCCCTTTCCTTATTAAGCTTTTTTAGAGAATTATTATTCTTATTTTGTTTGTAATTATATCATTAATCAAATAAATAAAATTATAATAACATTTATGTAATTAAAAAGTTATATTGATTACAAGCTAGTAGATCATATAAAAAGTGTTTTATTAAATTTTTTTTCAATGAAATATTTTCGGTTATTAAATTTTTTTCAATGAAATATTTCAATTATTATATATTATAGGATACTTTTATCATATATAATCTCACATTTCATTAATACAGTTTTACTTCCTTAGAATTCAATATATCAACCAAACACAATCGCACTCTACTTTCTGGGAAGTAAATTCCCTGAAACTCTACTTCTCTAGAAATCAACTTCCCCGAAAATAGATCAATTTGAACCAAACCAGCCTTAATGATTTGAAGGGTACCAAGTTTCATTTGAACGGTACTAAATTAGAATGACTTGTCATCTGCTAATAAACTCAGATGAAATTGTCCTATTACACAAATACCATTTCAAATGCAGTTTTAAATTTCAATTCCTATCACGAGTTTCTAGTAATTGATAGAATGGTTTCAATCTTTTATTTTATGTTACTGTAGGATTTATTATTATCAGTAATTAGTACTTAGTTTCCTTCAAACAATCTTGTTTAAGAGTTGATACCTTAATCTAATTTGTAAGTTAACATTTTCTCAAAATGAGCACACGATATTCCAGGGAATAAAAAGACCGAGCAGTGCACAAAACATCCCAAAAAATATTTTTGGATGATGCTGCAAAAAAATTGAATATTCTCTGGTGGCAAACTCAATTAGGCCTGAAACTAAAATTTTCTTGGCTATATTTACAATTTTGATCACTAATCTTGAGCTTTAGATGCACATAGAAAAGTGTCATAATTACACTTTCAATACAGATTACTTTCTAACGTCTAACAAATAAACTTTACTTGGTATAAATGAATCTGAGCTTTATATATAGATATACAGCAAAGTGTCGCAATTACATTTTCATGACAGATTACTTTCTAATATCTAACTAATAGTCCCTTGTTTGGTATAAATGAATTTGAAGTGTATATATATTCCGTTACAGATGATAAAAGTTTCGCTTATTTATATTGAATTCCATAATATTCGTAGATAAAATAAACATTTTCATATATGTGAAACATGAAGACATTTGGATTCGATGTAATTGAATCAAATTCATTTATACCACATGGGCATAAGTGAATATATCTCAGCGAAAGGCATGGTTATAGTCATGGTAATGGAAGTTTTTATAGATGAAGTGAGCCAACCATCTTGAAGCTGCAAAGAACACTACTGCCATACTTACCAGTGTAGTTCTAGCAACTGCAGATAGTGCATTTTGTTTGGCTGCAGCAACAATACCAATTGAAACTAGGGAAATTACTTGCAGAATGACCTCAAGAGCATTTAGACCTTTATATGCAGCACTGCAACTTCGACAGTTTACGACATGGGACCAGTATCTGAAAAATGGATTACCAAATTTACAAAGAGATGAGTTTATGAAACTGAATATGGATTCTCAAATGTAGTTAATGTTGTGTTGGTTGTTACCTGTCCAAGAGTTGTTCTCTAGGAGGAGTTGGAGGAAGAGCTCCAGCGTATTTGCCTTTCCAATCAACTTGACCACCAGCATGCTTGTTCAACCATCTTCTGAAACCAACAATAAGGGCATCCGATTTGGTCGGCACAAAACATGCCTTTTGCCAATTGGTAGGGCCAACATCCATTATTTTGCGCTCCTGCAAATAGAATTCTAGAGTCACTTCATACTGTTTGAACTACAGAACATTGTATACCAAAGCTGTAATATCTTGGTTTCAGAGGAGTTGTTCTCAAACTAAAATAGTTAAATACGAATATAAGGGATGTATTCGCAGCCAAGACAAATGGCAACTCTTCACAGCAAAAAAATGCGTCACAAATTTACCAATGATTTTTTGGCCCAGTATTACTGGAATTGCCTTGAGATCTATTTGTTTGTAAAATTGAACCACAGTTGGAGCCAAATTAACCCCAAAAAAAATATACATAAGAATAAAAAATGTCACCTTGTGATGAATAATTAAACACAGAATGGAAACTAGATAATAGAATATCTTATAGTTGTGCTGTGAAGGCATTCTTTATATTCATTGTTCAGGTTCTGTTGATCTTAAATGCAAGACTACCTTATTAGTAAAACATTTTGCATTCTAAGCATTATATTTTATTTAGACTCTCTAGTAAATTAAATCTATGAATAAGTTTTTTTACACTATATGTTTTTTCACATCATATATCCTCCTAGTATGATTTTTAATAGGATCAATCAAATCAGTAGACGAGTGAGAAAATCATAAAAAAAAAAAAAAAGGATCCTCCTTAGTAATGATTTTAATAGGATTCAATCAAATCAGTAGACGAGTGAGAAAATCAGAAAATCATAAAAAAAAAAAAAAAGGAAGATCATAATCACCTCTACGTGAAGAAGATATAAATCTGAATCCAAAATAAGGTTTTGTCCCACGTGAAATAACCACCGCGGAACTATCTTATCAATCCAAACTCCAAAGTTTCTTGGAAAGACCCATATCAATCTGCTATTGCCAGGACTAACTGGGATGCAAATAAAAATTAAAGCCATTCTTCGCTGCATTGCTGATTGCTGCACCAAGAAATTCTGTGTACACAAAGGTTAAGAACATTTAAGTAAAAATAAAACAAGAAGTTCAATTATACCTCACAAGCATAATATGAACATCTGTATCATATCATAACAGACAGTCAGACATGCATTAACTATAATATTATATAGTCTTGTTAGCCAAAAGTTTTTAAAAGGAACACTGAGTACTCTGCTTGCTCAATTAAAGTGTGACCACTTGTAATCCATATGTGTCCTCCATTTTCCAATGAAATGTAAGATTATCATTTTTACTTTAATGATGTACACCAACACAATGTTACCTTTTTGGTTTCAGGTGAAGATACAGCTCCATTACCTTGATCCACCTTAGGATCAGTATAAGCATAAAATATACAAGGAGCTATAAATTTACAACTGCCGAAGTCCATCTTTCCAGCAAAACCACTCATGTCTAGTTTCTTGACGCCCAAATCCAATGGTCTGCCTCCTTCTCTGTCAACCTTCTCTGAAGAGGAATTTTAGTTTGAATTGAGTTATATAAACTCTACAATAAGAATGTAACTAAATTAATGTTTATCTGTAATTTCTTATCCACCTTTGTTCTTTCGCATTCGCATTATTCCATAATGTGCGTAGGGAACATGAGCAGGATCCATAAGATTTTCAACCAAAACATCGTACCTGAAAATGCAAATATATACGAGGCATGGACATCAAACAGGAAAAATAATTTTATTTCACCTTCCACAGATGCAGTTTTGCATTCTCTCAACTTTCCGTAAAAGATTTATGTCAAAACTCATGACAGAACCAGTTTGTACTAATACTTCTCCGGGACAAATATTCCCAGTTTAAAAGAGAAATCAGATCAAGTAACTCTAACAATGCAAGCTAATTCTTTTCAATGTTATGTATGCCCTATAATCTTTGGAGAAATAACAAAATGGACAAACTTTATCTGGTACGAATAGGATAAGGAACATAGATTACAAAGTTTGAGCTAAAAATGAGAAAACCAACCCATATGGAATATCTCTATTTCCCATCAACTTAGTAAATGATGGATCTTCTAATTCTGGGATTGAGGGAGGCTTTTTCTTCATAATAACATCTTTGTATTGAGGATCAGTGTTAGGCCAAAACCACACAATATCGTGATGCAATGTACTAGGGTAAACTGCTACGCATGCTCTCTTAGATGCATGTACCTGCATTATTGGATAGAAAGGACAAACGTAATCTCATTTGATATGGAACTTCAATATGTTAGGGGAATATATATGACAAAATAATAAAAATATGTGACTGCTGCAAGAAGGAGAATACAAGAAAAGCTCTACCATAAACAATCATACCAAGATATCTAGTGGTTTAGCACTCTTTTATGCATGTTTTTTTTTTTTTCATCTCAGAGAAAAAGCACCAATGTTTAACCACCTTCCATGGATGCAAAATTTAACCACCAATCATTCAAGCCTTTCTTTCAAGAAATGTACGAAGTTGTCATCAATCTATCATTTGTTGGAATTTTCGAGAAATCTACATTTATAGGGTAGTTCTTCACGCAAAATCACAACATTTGATACCCCTCAAACATCAAGTACTTGACTATGGCATTTATTAATTCACTAAGAACTAAGAAGAACATGTGGACGAGGATCTTTGACCCAAGATAGATCTTTTAGCAAATTAGCAATGAAAAAGACTGAGCACTTAGTGCCCGTTTGGCATTATTGTGAAGTGCAAGTGTGAATTTAAGTGCGGGGTGTACTGTTTTTATGCATATCAGATGCACTAATAATTACCTGGAAAGCAATAATAACGTTTGATCTTAATTGACTGATGCACTATTTGATAGCAAAGGTGAAATATGTAGTTGATGCACTTGCATTAAACACAATCAACTGCAAAATTAACATTAAGCAAAGTCAAAAATAGAAGCGGAAAAGGTTAGAACTTCCTACAGGAGGACCATCTGGTGGCGCTTGAGGAATGAATTTGCAATCACCGGAGCCATTAAAACACCAACCATGATAAACACACTGCAATCTTCCCCATTGATCAATTCTTCCTTCAGATAATGGAGCCAATCTATGAGGACAACTATCATCGAATACCTTCCATGCATTCTCATTCCTATCCCACCAAACCACCACGTCAATACCCAACACCTTCTTTGCATGTGGGACTCTTTTATCCAAATCACAAACTGGCATAATTGGATACCACTGTGAATACCAATCAAACTTATCTTCATGGGTGTCAGTTTCAAGCTCTGGTTCAGGTGGTTCAATGGACTCTGTTGAAACAAAAGATGGCGATGATACGGTAGTGAAAAGCTTGGATTTTGATGGGTTATAATGAATTCTTGAAAAAGATGAAGCCGGTAATGTATTAAACTGAAAATTCAAGAACTTGGGTTTTGCAAATTTGGTTTGAGTTGATGAAGTTGAGATGTGAAATGATGGAACGGAGGAACTTGTAATAGTTTCCATGGTTACTTTCATCAGTGCTCAAACCAGAGGGATAAAAGGAAGGAAAAACTTGAGGCTGGAAATGCTTAATTGAGGTGACAGAAATATGTAAGTTTGGATCACTTGTTGAATTTGAGGCTCTAAATTGTTGAGACTGGTGAGGGACACAGAATATTTTTCTGGTTTGACCGTTTCAGTCAAATATAATAGTATATATTTCTTTGTTAGAATTCATTTTTATAATTAAATTTAAAATATGAAATTCATTTTTCCGTATATTTGATATGACCACTTATAAATATATATTCAATTTAATTCTATGCAGTTATGTACGGAACAAAATTACTATTCAAAAATCATTTGTTTTTATTTTCTACAGTACATTTGAAATAGTAATTTCATAAAAATAGTAAAAAAATGTTAAAAAAATTAAATAAAGAATGAAAAAAATTACTTGAGTCAAATATTAGAACAAAAACAAAAGAAAATACAATAATAAGAAAGCATATTTGAACCAAATGTTGATGGATAAACCTATAAAAATACCTTCAACTGTATAAATTATTGCAAAATCACTCTAATATTTTTATATTTCGGACACCCCTATTTTGAAACATAGATATATTAGCACCTTAATTTTAAAATGAAGCTAAAATTTGAATTAAAATAATATTATTGTGTAATCATGGTTAAGCTAACTCAAGGAAAGTAAAACCGCATTGATAAATGATAATTAATAATGAAAGTCCAAATTATCAAAGCCTATCAAATATTTGCTGCAGCAGCAATGATAATATTGATCATTATCAATATCAAGATCAGAAGGCTTATAATACTTTGAGAAGTTTTAGTCCATATCCAGATATCGGTAAGAATTCTTATGGGCTATTGTTGATGAACGGTTGCGATTTCATGATGATACAGGTTTTAAGAACAGTTACAAATTTTCATCAAATCCATCGGATGATCGGATGCTCGGATGCTTTACTTCATGAGGATTGCCCACAGGAACAGCAAGAAAAAAAACAAAAAACTGAAAAATCAAAAAAAGAAAATGTGGATATTGTAAAGGAACAAGAAACTGAAGAATCGAAAAAAAAAAATAATAATAAACAATCGAAGTATGTATATATTCCTAAAAAGATTAATTTTAAAATTTGATAAAGTTTTGATAAAATTAATAAGTTAAATAAATAAAAATTTGACAATTTTACTTTATACAAGAAAGACTGTAGTTTTGTAGTTTTGTTATAAAAAGTTGGATTTTTTAATTTGGTTTTAGAAATTGCACCTATTTTAATAAAATTTGATTTAGCTATATTCAATTTACAATATTCAATTGATAGAATTAAAATTTGATTGTATTGAAATATTTGGTTAGAAAATATCTTTTTTTTTGTTTAATTATTTTATTAGTTATGATTAATTTAGATCAAATATTTAATTATTTTTTAATTATGTTTGATTTATATCAGATATAAATTCTTTTTTTGAAAAATTGACATTTTATTATTTTGATGCAATTTCAAGGATAAATTATATAAAAAGTTAATTTTTGAGCAAATTATATATTGCTCCCAACTTTAAAATTCATATTCTCTTTTTGATTTTAAATTATATTATATACCTTTCACAAATTTACCAATTTTATTATTAAATAATCAAACTACAAATAATCTTATTATTCTAAATCTCTCACCATCTCCTTTTCTTTTAATTTCATGTTCTCTTTCTAAATTTTAAATTATATTATATATCTTTCACAATTTATCAAGTTTTATTACTAAATAATCAAACTTCAAATAAACCATTTTTCAGTTATTTATTTATTATTCTAAATTTCTCATCATCTCATTTTCTTTTAATTTTATATTCTCTTTCTAATTTTAAATTATATTGTATACCTTTCACAATTTAAGGTATATATAGTCTACTATTTCTTTTTAATTCTTATTCTAATTTTTGAAAATTGTTTTGGAAAATTATGCTTTACACACTATTATATGAATTTAAAAAATTAATATTCAGGTGTATATTAGTGAACCAAATTCAACATACTAGATATTTTATTTCATTCAAAAGATTTCATTATATTCTTAATTATTTTTTCATTAATGACTTACCAATTAGGAAGACAGAAGAGGATCATATTAGACCACAAAATTTGAATTATTTCATTTTAGTTCTAAATATTAATTTCATTTTAATTCTTTTGAAAAATATAGATCACAATAATTATAGAATATAATTTAGATGTATGCTTATTTACTGTCGTTTGGAACAAATGAATTTTGATTATAGAATTCATTTGTAAATAAATTTATCATATTTGGTATGCTATAATTTAAAATAAAAAATTCAATTGAATTTCATAAAATTATGTTCGAAATAAATTATTAAATGAAAATTCATTTATCTTTATTTCTTATAACACCCTTGATATAATAATTTAACAAAAATAAATAACAAATACCAATTATATTTTTAACACCCTTGATATAATATTTAACAAAAACTTAAATAAACAAATACCAATTATATTTTATTTGCTATAAGTATAATAAGTTGTTCTTTTTATTAAAATATTAAAAACATAAATTTCATATTTCTTATAACACCCTTGATATAATAATTTAACAAAAATAAATAACAAATACCAATTATATTTATTATGTATAATATAATAAGTTGTCTTTTTTATTAAAATATAAACAATAAATTTCATATAAATAAGTACACTAATATTTCATGTTAATTAATTAATTACACAAGCAGTAACAGTCATTATAATAATTATGTTTAATTGATGTAAAAAGTTTTGTTGATTTAAATAATTAATTTGAAAACAAAAAAATATTAAGAATGTTACTATTGTTTTTAATTGCATTTGAAAATAATAATGATACTCATTTTTTAACTTTTATGGTAATAATAATTAAAGTTATCGCCAGACTTAAAAAATAAAAAAAAAGTAAGATATAAACTAACATAAAAAGAAATAAAAAGAAATAACATTAGTATAGTTTGAAATTTTTCAAAGAAAATAAATAAAAAGGAAAAAAAAATAAAAATAATTGAATTTATAACGAAGAATAATTTTATCAATAATAAATGAAATGTATTATATTCGTTGTGAGTTTCTAAATAAATTTTACAAAATTTTGTCAATAATTTTGTCGGCCTCTCGAACTGCAATAAAAAATTGTGATGATTTGTTGCAGATATGAGTGCTTCCTTTCACTTGATGGTTTCAATGATAATGTTTAAAAGCATTATTATTAAGTACTAATTATATATGAATGTATAATGAATTTCTTTTTAAATTAATTCATAAAATAGCATACAGTATATTAGTGATATATATAATAATTTTTTATATAATGAAATTAATATTCACTGAATCTATAAATTGATAAACTATTAATTTATCACTTAACTTAATATTTCTCTAAATTAATAAAATTTAATGGTCCAACATTATTAATTTATAGAGATTTTACTGTAAATATATTTTTAAATATCCTAATTTAATAATAATAATAAAAGCTAACTCCTAATCTAAAGGCATAACGTACCTAATAACCAAAAAAACAAAAAAAAAAGTTAAAAAATATGATAGTAATATATATATATGTATATGTATGTTACTTTTTTTTTTTTTTTTTTGAAAAATGTATATATGTGTTACTAAACTAGTGATAATAACAAAATTATACATGGAAACCATAAAAAGCTGCAGGTCCATTATGAGTATCTAATCCACCTGAATATCTCACTGCAGTGCTTTTACAGTTTGAGGGTGGGTAAAGCTATTTCTGCTGCTGAAATGTGTGTGGCTTGGCATAGGGAGAATGATTTTGAATTACCCATCATCCTTATTCAAGGTATGCCATTTAGCTGTATTTGGTTTATGTGTCTTCTTGTTTCTTGTGGATTTTGCGACGAGCTTGCTATGGAATCAGTGCCTCTTGGTTTTGAAATTTCTGGATTTGATACAAGTAGAACTTGGGTTTCTCAAAATGGGGTCTTTGCATTTGGGTTTTTCCAGTATTTCCCTCAAAATGGTGATTTTGATGGATTTCTTGTGGGTATTAGGTATAATTTGAGAGATAAAACTACAAACTTGCCTGTATGGGCTGTTGGTGGTGGTCTTAGAGTCTCTAGAAACTCTACTATTAGGCTTTCAATGGATGGGAGACTGATTTTGTTTGAAAACCCTAGTGGTTTAATTGTTTGGAGTAGTAATACTTTTGGTTTAGGTATTAAAAAGGCTTCTCTTTTGCATAATGGCAACTTAGTTCTTATGGGTATTGGAGATGATGTGCTTTGGGAAAGTTTTAGTAGTCCAACAAGCACACTCCTTCCAGGCCAGTCTCTGCATTTTCCTCAAACGTTAATACCTCTTTCAACAAAATCAACTTCTAGTTACTATAATTTTGTGATTCGTAGCTCTGGAGAGCTTGCCCTTGTTTGGGAGGACAATGTGACATATTGGAGAACTCGTTTGAGCTTTTCTGATAATATTATTAAGGAAGCAAGATTTGATGGCGATGGTTTCTTGGGGCTTATAGATGCTAGAAACAAAACTGTTTGGTCTGTGTCAAGTAATGATTTCAAAGACCCTTCTGTTTCTTTGAGGCATCTTAGTATGGATTCTGATGGGAACTTGAGAATATATTCGTGGGACTATTTGCACCATGAATGGAAAATAACATGGCAAGCAGTTGGGAACCAATGCGATGTGTTTGGTTCTTGTGGTTTGTATAGCGTATGTAGATTTAATTCCACAAGACCTGTATGTGATTGTCTTTATGAAGATTCATTAAATTGGGGAAATGCCCTTGCCACAGTGGATTCAGGTAGTTTTGGTTGCAAGAAGATGGTCGATTTGAGCAACTGTGCTATGAATACAAGCATAATGATTCTGAAGCAGTCGGTTCTATATGGTCTTTACCCACCTCAAGATGTTAATATGCTGCTAAATGAGGAAAATTGCAAAGAATACTGTTCTAATGACATTACCTGCACTGCAGCAACTTCAAAGAATGATGGTTCGGGTATTTGTACGATCAAGCGAACCAGCTTTATTAGTGGGTACATGAACCCTTCGATTCCTGCCACTTCATTCTTAAAACGATGTATGGTCCCTCAGGCTGTTTCAGCTCAACGGTCTAATCCTGGTGATGTTAACCCAAAAACACTTCCTACGTTAAATTATCGTGAAGACAACAACAAGAAATTTATAATAGCTGTTGCTTTGACAGTTCTGGTAACAGTGTCAGGTTTTCTGACCATTGAGATGTTTGTGTTTTGGTTTATGTACCACAAAGGGAAAATTAAGGCTCAAACGAGAATTCCCTTTAGCAAGGATGCCCAAATGAATGCTCATTACAGTGTTCTTGTCAGATTATCCTTCGAGGAGATAAAAGAGCTAACTGCCAATTTTGCTGATCAACTGGGCCCCACTGTTTATAAGGGTGTACTTCCCAACAAAAGGCTAGTTATTGCTAAGAAGCTAAATGATTCAAGTGCAAATGAGAAGGATTTCCGAGTGGTAATTTCTAACTTGGGTGGAATGCACCACCGGAATCTTGTTCCATTGAAGGGCTTCTGTTTTGAGCCAAATCACAGATTTTTACTGTATGAATATATCGACAATGGCTCCCTGGATAAATGGCTCTTCAACATGAAGCAAGGCCAGGATAATGAGAACTGGAAACAGAGGATTGATATAGCTCTTGGAATTGCACGAGCCCTTGCTTATTTGCACTTGGAGTGTCATATAAGCGTAGCTCATGGGAACTTGAAGCTCGAAAATGTCTTGCTTGATGACAAGTTGATCCCTAAGCTTACTGATTTTGGACTTAGAAGCTTACTCCAAAAGGAGACAGCTTCCTCCTCAGAGTCACCATCGGAGAAAGATATGTACATGTTTGGGGAGATGCTGTTACAAATTGTGACATGCAAGAGAGACATTTTGAGCGAAAATCTGCAACATTTTGCTGATAAGGTAAATCAGAAACTAGACTTGGATGATAGGATGGACTCCGAAGGAGTAGCAAGAGTAGTGAGGATAGCTTTATGGTGTATGCAGAATCAACCATTTCTACGACCTTCCATCGGGGAAGTTGTTAAGGTATTAGAAGGTGCACTTTCTGTAGATAGGCCTCCATCGGGTTTTGGTTTTAAACAGGATCTTCAGATTGATGAAGCTGTTGTTTTAACTGAGATTGAAGTAGCCTCCTAATCTTAAGTCAACTTTGATAAAAAAAGATGTACAAATTTAACTAACTATGTTCTCCAAGTCTAGTTTGCAGAGGCACTTGGGACAATATATGGATAGCATCATATGTACTTACCATTTCTATTTCTGTTGTTTAATAGTGAAAAGTTGTAATGAAAAACAAGTTAAAACATGTAAAAATCAGTTTTTATGTTTTTTATTACACTAACCTTTTTATGACGTTTATGACGTGTTGCACGTTGACTATACTTATTTATGCTTATGCAATTTTTTATATCATTGATCACTTTTACTTATTATTTATACTCATTTTTATTTTTTAATATTAAATATTTCATTATAATTTTATCTTATCTTATATAGATTTTAAATATAATGTTAAAACAAAATCTCATATGAGATTAACATGAGTATAACAGTTAATTACTAAAAGAGTATCAGTTCAATTTATATCATCATTTATCTAGAATTTATTATATCTGTATATGTGCAATTCTACAATGCAACCTAATAAAAAAAATGCTTTAATATACATAGATATATCAAGAAAATATATACTTTTAAAACTAAAATTTTCAACTGTTCGTCACCTATGCACACATTCATTTTATTTAAAAATAAATTTTAAATATTTGATTATAATTTTATCTTATATTATTTCAATTTTTATAATATTAAAATAAAATTTTATACGAGATTAATGTGAATATAACGGTTAATTAATAAAACAGCTGTGTGTATCCACACACACTTCAGTTCAATCATCATTTATCTAAAATTTATTATAACTCTGTAAATATAATTCTACAATATCATTTAATAAATACGTTTCAATATATATATAGATACATAGACATAACAATAATATATATAACTTCAGTTCAATCATCATTTTATCTAAAATTTATTATTAACTCTGTAAATATAATTTCTTACAATATCATTAATAAATACGTTCAATATATATTATAGATACATAGACATAACAATTAATATAATATAATATATATATATTATATATAGTATATACTATAAATATATTAATATATTAAGAAAATTTAAAATTTTTAAATTGTTCGTCATCCATACACATATGTTTTATTTTATTTAAAAATAAATTTATGTTTATTTTATTTAAAAATAAATTTTAATTATTTTATTATAATTTTATCTTATACTATTTGGATTTTTATAATGGTAATAAAATTTTATATGAGATTAATGTAAATATAACGATTAATTAATAAAACAGCAGTGTTTATTTACACACACTTCAATTCAATTTATATCATCATTTATCTAAAATTTATTATAACTCTATAAGTATAATTCTACAATATCACTTAATAAATACGTTTCAATATATATATCACATAGATATAACAATAAAATATATATTTTTTCAAAAATTAAAATTTTTATATCACATATGTTTAATTATCTAATAAATTATATCTAATCAACTAATAAAATATAATTTTTTAAGTTTATGATTAAGGTTATTTTAAAATATTCAAATTTTATTAAAGGCGTTATCGGAATCTCGTTATTCTCCCTATTCTCATATTTATATACAGTACATATTATAGATATTATAGATTATTATTATAGATTTAGGAGTCCTTTATTGAAAAGGAGAAATTAATTCAGTTTAGAAATAATTTAATTCAATGAAAATATTAAAAAATTTTCACATCTCATTTTGTAAATATATGTGAAAATATCTCATCATTAATTATCATTAATTGAGTTATATGTCTATAATATATATGAATTTAACGTTTTGCGTAGATCATCATTACATAAACTATTTTAAATTCATATATGACTTTATTAGTGATAGTTAATAGTATACACATATAACCCTGAATAAAAAAAAAAATTTCAAAAACCTTACTTGACACTCTCTCCTTTAATTATTTTTCTTTTTTCTTTTTTTACAAATTTTTAAATTTTTAATTAATTTTTAAACATTTCTTTTCTTATATCTAATCTTATATATACCTATATCTAAAATTTTAAATATTTAATTCTTTAAAATTTTTGAATTTTGAAATTGAAATTTTAAAACCTTTGATTTTTTTTTTTTTTGAATTTTGAAATTGAAACTCTAATATCTTTGAATTTTTTTCATATATATACCTATATATATATATATATACACCTTCATATTAATCAATTCAGTTATTTTCTTTTACGGTAGTTTTCTTTTTTTTTTTTTTTTTGTTGTTTTTCTCTTCTTTTTTCTGTGTGTGTCTATATATGTAAAATAATTTTAAAGTCAAACTTGATTTGTCAGTTGAAATAAAATTCAAATTAACTAACTGATACCTACTTATGTTTAGTTTGATATAATTGTAAATTTGTAACAAAAGTCAAAAACTAACATTTTTCTCCTTTTTTTTTTTGTGAAATTCTGACAAAACAAATGTTGACTCATTAACTTAACTAGTTGCTTCTATGATGCTACTAATTATGCTATCCAAAGAAATTGCAATGCACGAAATTAAATTGTTCATAAATCTATTTATGTATTTTTTTAAATGTATTATCTTTTTAGCAAATTGTATAAAACTATAAATTTTTTTTATTTATTGTTATATATATATATTGTTATATATATATATATATATATATATAATATATATATAATATGTAAATTTTTAATTATTTATGAATTATTTTTAAAAAACTGAAGTTTAATAATTGGGGAGAGAAATATAAATTAACTATTATTAAACATTAAAATTTAATAAATACATTTTGAAAATAACAAAGAATTGATAAATTAAAAAATAAATAACATTTAATAAAGTAAAAAAGGGATTGAGACACCTTATCATTTTAGTTAAAATAATATTCGTGTCATTTAAATTTTAATATTATCTTAATATTAAAAAATTATATCTAAGAATCATATTTCAAAATTAATAATTCGATTAACAATAATTATCTATATCTATATTCAAGTTTTTAATTTTTAATTTTATATTAGATAATTTAAAATTTAATTTTTAGTTTGAAAATTATTATTTATTTAAAATGATTAAAACTATATTTATATTTTTAAATATCTGAATTTTTTTAAGTTTTAGATTGATATTGTTTTTTTTTTATCCATTTTATCTATAATTTCAATTATATATTTATTATTATTTCATCTTTATAGATGGAATTTTTTTTTGTATGTTTTTCAAGTTTATTATATTTATTATTATCATCTTTATAGATGGAATTTTTTTTGTATGTTTTTCAAGTTTATAATTCTACAAAAATAATTTAACTAATACTTATTGTCTATGACTTTTCTATTTTATGTATTTACCGTATTTTAATATATATACATATATATATTATTTTTTATTTTCTTCTTCATTTCTCTGAAGTTTTAAGATTTTTTTTTTTAGAAATATTTATTTTTATATGTACAACAAAAAAAGTAACTTCTAATACAATGTACAATAATAAAATAAAAAAGCAACTCACGCAACACGCGGGCTTCCACCCAGTTGAGTTATAAAATTCTTTGCTTTTCGTTAGAAAATCCTAAAGGTCATTGTAATTGTACTAATATTTAAAATCCTAAAATAAAAAATATTAAGGATTTTTTCTAAAGTTAATAAGAATAAAAAAAATAAATTTAAAAAAGATAAAACTTCAAATTTTAAAATGTTCAATTATCTATATGTATTTATTTAAAAATAATTTGAATAATTATATCCAATAAACTAATAAAATATAAATTTTCTAATTGACCATAACTAAGGTTATTTTAGCATATTCTAAATTTCATTAAGGGCGTTATCAAAAATCTTATTATTCCCCCTATTCCCATATTTATATATAGGAAAAATAATTATTTAAGTAGTCCCCAATATTTATACAAATATTTATAATCTCCTTGAGGTCAACTGTCATATTATTTGGTCCTTCCATCTAAAAACCAAACTTTTTCCATTAATTTTGAGAAGAAAAAACGAAATTATCCTTTATAACTTTTTCATTGACATTATTGTCAATCTCTCTCCTCTAAAATACCTAAAACTCAAATTTTCACAATCTTCCTCAACCCAACGCCGTCTTCATCGCCACCACTATGTTTCTGTCAACCATCATCTCCATAACCAGATCGTCACAGAAGCTAAAACCCGACATCCAAACTCAATCAAGCCATCATCACCCTTCAACCATCTCTCTCTATATCTCTCCTTGATTCTTTGATCACCTCTTCTCTCAATTCTTTGGTTCAGACCCTGACTTCGCTTTCACCTTCAATGGTAGTAATTTCTTCGATTGTGTACTTACATATGAAGATCATCCTCGATTTGCTTGAGACGAAATTCGACGATAACCCTTGCACCAGCATTGCTGACTGGGCCGCAATCGCAAGAGGCGAAGGGAAGAAAGAAAGTGGTGAACCCCCGATTTGCTTGAGATGAAATCCAACCGTAACCCTTGCACCGACATTGTTGATTGGGCCGCAATTGCAAGAGGCGAAGGGAAGAAAGAAAATGGTAATCTTTTTCTTTTATTGCAAATTTCTAATATGCTTGTTCAATTTTGGATTTTAAATCAAATTGGGTGATTACTTTACATTTCGTTTGCAATTTACGATTTAAAATTTACATGGACATTTGTTAATGATGGTGTCGGGTTTCAAGTGAACAAGAGCAAGTTAAATGTGTTGTGCAAATTTTTGCTTTGCAACATTGGTATTTTTTTTGGGCTGATTTTGCATATAGTTGTTGTTTCTGGGATTAATTGTTGAGGTTATTGAGCAATTCTTTTTGGCTGATTTTGCATATGGTTACTGTTTCTGGATTAGTTGCTGAGGTTATTGAGCAAAGTGATGCATATTGTTGCTCTTGTGTGGGATTAGTTGTTGAGGTTATTGAGGAAAGCAAATGAGTTGAAAGGAAGGATATGTTAATTAGAGGATTTAGGGTAGTCTGGTCATTCTATTAAAAATTAACATTAAAAATTGTGCTTTTTGGACGGAAGGACCAAGTAATATAACGGAAGTGAACCTCAAGGATGTTATAAATATTTATATAAATTTCGACGACTACTTAAATAATTGTGGTGAACCTCAAGGACGAAATAATTATTTTCCCTTATGAATAGGCTTGTATTAGGCCTTGAGCTAGTTCTTTAATAGACTTGTTAACAAACTCGTTGGCAAATTCATTTATATTTATTGTATTTTATTCTAAATGTAATAATTT